TAATTGATACAAAGATTGATTAAATTGTAAAACACGTTTAAAATTAGATTTATAAGAGCTCGAAATTAAACTGGATGACGTTAGATTCACTAGCACTACGATAGAATTGGAATTGATTTGAGATTGGATTCGAGTTACTTCTTAATACTAGAATTGGAATCGAACTTTCTTAATACTAGAATTGGAATCGAATTAGAAGAGGGAGTTCACGGACTGGAGGTCCTCTCCAGTCGGATTCGCGAGATGAACTGCCTACAGTCGGCCATGCACTGAAGTGCTTCGATTCGGCGGCTCGAAACTGCGGCGACGCTATGGTGGGGTGCGCGCTCGATGTGGGAGGCGCTGGTGGTGGGGGTGCAGCGCTCGCGTGGGAGGCTAGAGGATCGCCATGGTGAGGCTCGCGGTAGCCCAGGGACGTTCCACGTCGGTTCTTTGCTTCATGTTATAAAGATTTATCATTGTAAAATTGAAAAGGGGTAATACCTTTACAATAGGAAGCAAAATTGTTAATTAATTCATTTATTCTGACGCGACAGACGTGACACGTTGCTCCGAGAATACGCAATGTCGTGTTCATGGCACGCCGCATCTAGTGGATTTATACTCGTTTCACCTCTGGCTAATCGCTTTTTCAGCCGAGTACCCGGACCGCAAAACTGATAGCCGGGAATATGTAACTCGAAAGGAAGCGCATTTATCGCTCGATTGAACAGTCCTCCAACGCAGCCTTTGTTCGTTGCTGCTGACATATGTTACAATCCTTTATCTTCGGTGCGGGGCCGTCTATATGCGTGCGTTGCCACGATTGATTATAATGCTCGACGCAGCGACGATAGATTTGAACCTCCAAATCTGCCTTTATTATATGCTCCGGAAATTTGTCTTACACGTGGTATAGTCGCCACATATGCGTAACAATATGATCTTCGGTATATATTGCAACTGTTCAGCGCGCAAATCCCAAATATCAAATAGATGCGATAGCGCGAGATACATTTTTACTACTAAGCGAATCGCGGTTTCGCGCGCCTATAAATAGGCGTTCAATCAAAGCCTAGATAACGCAGTGTGAACATGAAATTCGTGCACCCGCAGACGATACACGTCGTGAACTACGACGAGAAAGCGCAAATGATGGGAGACATCGCGACGAAGCGCAAGCACAGTGAAATACTACCGAGTACTATACGCGCGATTATTTGCGGTCCATCGAATTGCGGTAAAACCAACGTTCTCATAAGTTTGCTCGAGAGTCCGCACGGTGTACGTTTCGAGAATGTGTACGTGTATTCGAAGTCATTGCAACAACCAAAATATCGATATCTCGAAACTTTGTTGGCATCGATGTACGAAATCGGCTATTTTACGTTTTCCAACAACAGTGACGTCATTCCACCGAGCGAGGCACGTTCCAATTCGATCTTCGTCTTCGATGACATTGCATGTGGTAAGCAAGATGTGATGAGAGAGTATTTCTCGATGGGTCGCCACTCGAACGTCGACTGCTTCTATCTCTGTCAGACGTATGCGAAGATATCTAAACGATGTTTAGAACTCCCTCTTCTAATTCGATTCCAATTCTAGTATTAAGAAAGTTCGATTCCAATTCTAGTATTAAGAAGTAACTCGAATCCAATCTCAAATCAATTCCAATTCTATCGTAGTGCTAGTGAATCTAACGTCATCCAGTTTAATTTCGAGCTCTTATAAATCTAATTTTAAACGTGTTTTACAATTTAATCAATCTTTGTATCAATTAATTTTGTATTTGAATACCTTACAATATATAAGTGAAAAGTGATTGGTGTGTGTCAAACAATTAATAAATCTCAATCCTTCCACCCATCCTAGCGAAACGTACAATCGACAGAGTTCGCGAGGTAGAGTGACCGCGCATAATTTAATCAAATAATAAGCGACCCGGGAAGCCGTGCTTGCTCTCTTGGCTAGCAAGTTGTGCGTGCACCCGCACTACTCCCCAAGAGAGGTATCGCTTCTCACGCATTTTAATTCACCAAATTATAAGATATCTGACAACCTGTCCCGCCTCTTGGCTAGCAAGTTGTGCGTCCACCCGCACTACTCCCCACAGAGGGCTACAGGTTCTCATCGCGATAGAAAGCTTAATCTTTTATTCGCATTGTCACGTATCAGATGGATACGTGACAATGCGAACTTGCTGATTTTATTTAAACAGGATGGTACCAACTTGAAACATGTTTACAACGATCATGTGAATACTGACATGTCGTATGATGAATTCTGTGCGTTATGCCGCGATTGTTGGCGACGCGAGTATGGATTCCTAGTGATAGACAAAGACAGTCCGCTTGTCAACGGGCGGTACAGAAAAGAATTTAACACGTTCGCGGTACCATAATGTGGTTAGTCGATGTTGATACGTCAATTAGGCAACATGAATAACATCAAAGATCGCGAGAAAATAGCAAAATTCCGCCGCAATCTAAAAAGCGTACAAAACAATTGAATACCGCGTCAGATTCATTCACGTTCGATTCTACATCGATAGAACCATTAAAAGAACTACCGAAAATACCGCTATTCGTGCGAAATGAAAATATTTTTGAAACAAAAGACATTAGTGAACCGTCACTCGAAACAACCATCAAACAGAATCTGCAAACGCATGGAAGTCATGAGACGCTTCATGCTCAGCTAGGACTATTGGGACGAAAGTACGTGGGCCTTCTTCTCGGTGACGACATAGATAAAGCGATCGATAATGTGTACGGTATCTATTTCGACAAAAGTGATACAATGCTCGGTGACAAAAAGTTTGGCGTTGACAAAAATGACTCCATAATCATAGACAATGTGAGATACAATGGTACACCAGGATTATACGAATTGATCTTCAAGAGACTTCCCGATGAAGCTATATTTATCGAAGATGATAAACAAAAATATATAAAGTATACTATTAACAACGAATGGTAAGTATAAAAGTATACTATTAACAACGAATGCTCATAGACGTGATCACAGCGCCCATAATCCCATCATGGGCAACAAGGGATACAAGTACATTAATATCATCGCTCCGCTCGTATTTACATATAAAGAAGCAGTAAAAAGAGTGCAGGCATGAATAATATACCATCCACCATGAAGTTAAATGACAACAAGATCGATTACGTGCATTGGGACGATCCCAACGAACTGGTGGATCGACTTCGATTACTCGACGCTTCGCACTGAGCTGGTCACAACGCTCACGACAACGAGATGCTGTCGATCATCGAGGAACTTCGCGAAGCCGGCATTATTATAAATTAAATCGCGTGTCGACGAAACGAGCCAGTTGATTGACGTCAGTGAGGAAAAAAAACTTTAATTGTAATATATCTTATTTACACGCATTAATATCAAACATCGTCGAAACATGAGATCGTCAAAATCCGATGGACGTGAAAAAAATATTAACTCCGTAAGGCGACGACTCGTCGAGGAATTGCACGCTACAGCCAGAAGAAATTTTCCACGAAGACATGTCATAATTCGAGGATACGACGATCTGTGGCAAGCTGATATCGTCGAGATGCGCCCATATTCGAATTTCAACAGAGGTCATCATTACATACTCACTGTTATCGATGCGTTGAGCAAATATGCCTGGGCCGTACCGCTCAAGAGCAAGATCGGAAGCGAGACGACTAACGCTATCGCTGAGATAATTCGAGAGAGCGGAAGATGCCCGAGAAATTTGCAAACGGATATGGGGAAGGAGTTTTACAACGCCGATGTGCAGAAACTCTTGAAAAAACATAGCGTTAATCATTATTCCACGTATTCAATATTGAAGGCATCGATCGTCGAACGGTTCAATCGCACACTTAAAAACGACAAGAGATGTGGAAGATGTTTACACTTAATGGTACTTACAAGTGGGTCGACGCGCTGCCACGTCTCGTGTTAGATTACAACGCGCGCAAACATTGCACTATTGGCATGCGATCCATTGACGTAACTCCCGCGATCGCTAAAAAACTCTTGGACACGGTGTACAGCGCGATAAAAATTGTAGGTCTAGCAAAATTCAAAGTAGGCGAATCGGTACGCGTGAGCAAGTACAAGACAGTTTTCGAAAAAGGTTACACGCCAAATTGGACCACCGAGGTGTTTAAGATCGTTAAAGTGCAGCGTACTAATCCCGTAACCTATCTACTCGAAGACTATCGCGGAGAATTTGTTGCTGGAGCGTTCTACGAGCACGAGTTGCATCGCGCGATTCATCCGGACGTGTATCTCGTGGAGAAAGTACTGCGTAGGAAAGGAGATAAGGTTTACGTCAAGTGGCTGGGATTTTATGGGTCACACAATTCTTGATTACACAAAAATAATGTGATTTAATTCATTTATTGTAAACAATATAAAAATATTTATATAAAAATTTTAAATTCATTCATTTTATTGTAAAAACAAATAAAAAAATATTTATATAAAAATATATACAATAAGTCTTATTTTTCTTCCATTACATTTTCGTAAAGAAATTATACAGATGGACTAACTACGATGAACTTAAGATAATATATAAAATGTATAAAACTACGGGAAATACGTACATATGTACATATAAACTACAAGTACATATAAATTACAAGTACATATAAACTACAAGTACATATAAACTATAAGAAATATACATATGTATATGCATACGTACATATGTGCATAAACTACAAGTATGTATATACATACGTACACACGTACATAAATACATACGTATATATGTACATACATACATAAATACATACATACGTACATATGTACATACATACGTACATATGTATATGCATACGTACATATATATGTACGTACATTACATACTGTACATATGTACATATGTATATATAAACTATAAGAAATACGTATGTACATATATATGTATAAAACATTACATACTGTACATATGTACATATATATGTATAAAACTATATATAAAAAAATACATGTTACAAAGGTATTCGCCAATGTTCTCATGGCGTTAACGTTTTCGTCGAATCCGGTATGATGTATCGTTTGTCATCGTATAGACTCAGAGCAATTTTTGACTCGGATACCGTATATACTTGGTGTAACTTGGATCTTATACATGACTGGCGACGAGTCATTTCGATCTCTTCATTCAAACACCGTGTATAATCATCAAACGTTATTGTTCGCGCTATGACATTACTTTTTACACCTTTCGCCTTTTTGGTGTCCTTTTTACCATCCACTCTCATCGCATACATTTTCGCTCTGAGTCCGACAAATTCCGTCATAATTGCACCGTTATTTTCGTCCTTCATTAGGCCAGGTACTTTTTTATTCACGAGAGACATATCATATGCGTTGTCCGCCGGATAATCGCTTGTATCGAATCTAGCGATATCGCGTTTCATCGTCTCGTATACATCATCGCACTCAATGTGATATACAAGACTGTCTGTGTCGGTGTACATGATTTTACATTTGTCGCGATACAGCAGTAACATATATTCGTGGTGAAATTCGTACAAGCAGATTTTTGATATATCGAGTATACACATACCCACATAAATCGGCTTGTTGAATTTTATCTCGAGTTTACGTAGTTCGACGGCGATTAAATTTTCCGCAAAGACGCTGCGGCTGTGGAAATTTGGTTTCGCGATCATTGCCTCCGCACCGTATCGTCCGTCCCATTTCGTTATCAATTTTACATCCACGTGATTCCGGACATTTTCCATCGTTTTACCGAATACCGCGTTGTTCATTAATTTGTATAAATTTTTTCGAAATCGTTTTTCGCGCACATTCTAAGCTGTGTATTAAGTTCGATGTAATCGCGGAGCTAGGTGGATTGAGCGAATTGTAGTACGCGGTGTATCTTTGCGATACGAAGACTGTGGCGCGTACATTGCTGCAGGTTACGATAGTGGATGACATATCGCTTTTTGTCCTATAGCGTCGCGAGAAGTTTATTCTGCCGCGTGCCAGATGATTTATCGCGCGTCGGACAGAAAGGTAAGTATAGGTAAGTCGATATGTCGGTCGTGCAGATGATGCGGAATTTCGAGATCGACCTCGAGAATATAACCCGTAGGCGAATCCGGAGCGATCGCGCTTGCGTCAAAGTTCGCGATGTCTTCAATCCATCGAAATTTGGTATAGGGCAGCGGTTGACACATCGCCCATCCGTATAAATTGTTCACGTCATAGTACATCAAATACGACGACGGTTTCGACAGGTCGTACGAACGCATGTACTTGTTATTGGCCTGCGTGTATCTGTTGGAACATTGACGCCGCGTATATCGCGCTCGATAAACATAACCATATCGATGTCGATGAGCAACTCAAATTTTACACGCGTATGTTTCAGCATGGCGTCCCACGTGAAACCTGGCAATGTGTAGTAAGCGGGATCGAGACTGTAACTTTTGATACAACTTTCACGGAAATTTTCAAAAACATCAGCCAATAACAAGACATCAGTCTTCAAATATAGATCGCTATATTCGCCTAAGGTTTCAATAGAGAACCGCTGCCAGATGTTCATGGCGTGCGCGTAATCATTCTCCGACACTGTGTTACCGGTCAACGAGCTATAAAATGATTCGCGCGATGGTAGGCGCGTGTCCTGCAGCTTGTCCGCGCGATCTACGTATTCATAAGAAAAGACACCTTTACGCGTCAACAAATCAAAATCCTCGTTCGATAACGTGGAAAATTCGGAATGTAAAATTTTCAATATTTCTCTATTTAAAAAAGATGTCAATTTATCGAGACTGGTACTCAAAAATTTATACGAATCGATGAATCGTAATTGTACACAATTTTGCGAATCTGATCTATCTTTGACATGTTTAGTGAATGAAATGTATTTTTCCTTTGTTATCGGCAGCACGTCAATTTTGCCTTCGTACGCCGTAGCTATTTCTGTGATAACAAAGTGCGCGTCATAATCGGATAAATTGTGAAAGACTACAGGAATGCAATATGATTTTTTATATATTATTATATAATATATTTATATATTTTATATATTATTATTTATATATTATATATTTATATATTTTTTATAGTTTATAGTTTAGATTGCAATTCGAATGTGCGGGTCCGCGGTAACGACCGGTAAAGTGGCAATGATCACGTACTCGCGTGTCGTCCGACGCAAATGATTTCTCACAAATGTGACAACGCGTCGCGCTATGGTATGTCT